GGCTCTCTCCGGCCGTATCTAAAAAAGTGAAATATGAGGTGAGGAGATGGTAAGATTGTGTTTTTTCGTCGACTTGCGATGAATCAGCTCCACACCCTGGAATTTCGTTAATTTAGGTTGAAATTGAGTCCAAAATTGGCAAGCCGGTAATTGCAGTCACCGAGCACACATACCATACGGCGCTCAATATGAGTCCGGGGATTCCATATCGTTTCAGAGTGAGCACTGCTCTTTCATTACATTCCCAGCAGCCCTGAGCCCTTTTTCGATTTTTAAATGCTCCATTACTTTCAGGTTCGTGTTAACGTAGATGGTTGGGGAGTATGGAGTGATCCGCTGTGGTACGAGCTCGGTCGTGGAATTGTGAGTTTTTTTTTAGTTGTTTCATAAAAATATATATTTGGGTAGAACGATTTGAGTCAGGTCAAGTTAGATGGCCAAAGTGAATGTAGGCACTTGTACCCGAGCGTAACAATCGAGCGTGCGTTTTGCGAGCGGTCAGCTCAACTGATGTTTATACTACTGCGCGGATTGAGCCGACTGCTCCTGATTGGGTCTGTTTGTGAAGTGGTTATGCGGCTAAGGCTGACTTTAATATGCTGTAGTTGCGATATTCAAATGAAAATGGTCTGTGTAGAGTAATTTCGAGAATGCTTCGCGACCGCGCGCGTCTGTTCTATGAGATCGATACATCCAATCAATTGAATGGGGAGGAAAATTCTGCGTATTTGATATCTTTCAGAGTTGCTTATGTTTTTTGTTCAATTTTGTTTTGAATTTTGCAGGTCCAACAACATCAAGGACCAGAAACGACGCCTTTGGGTGCTGTACCAGGATGGGTGGTGTTGATGACAATGATATTATTCGTGTTGCTGCTTGCATTTCTTGTTGTGCTATGTCGTCGGAAAAGGCATAATCGCAAGCAAATGAGTGATCTAGACGTGCTAGATACCTACAAACAAGGTAGGTTTCATAATTATGGAGAGTGGCTCATGTATTCATTAGTCACAGGATACGAGGCGTGTTGTGTTGCTTTTTTGGGATTCTTTAAAGAGGGATTCAGGGATGAGCGGAAGTCTAAATCTTTCTGATTTCCGGTAATTTCGAAATTCATTCCGCTCATCCTGATTGAGAAAGGGAGTCCGTGTTAAGCTTATGCTGCTGTTTTCGCTTCCGTATTGTGTTGACCCGTGCTTCGGTTTTTTACAGACACGATGACACCCGACTACAGTTCCGGTAACCGTCAATTCAC